TACCTCGGTAAAAATACCGAAATCGTCGACGGAAGTTTGCATCTCTATCACCCTTTACCTTCCGCATTTACATTATATACTTTGGTTTAGTGCTTACTTTCCTAGCTTATTTTGATAGGTTAGTTGATAGGATTGGAACCTTGGCTGTATAACTTTTTTGTGCTAGAGATAGCAACACACTTAGTAAAATCGTAGTTGCACATTTAGATAGATTAATTTCTTGCATATGTTTTGACTAGGTAGAATTAGAGGCCATAGTTAGAAATAGAATTTTAAGTTGCCTAATAACCCCCTGTTAGGCGTCACGGTCCTTTTCACACGTTATGACGTAGTAGCTTCCAATGACATCAAACACATGTGTTTGGACCGTATATACATCAATGAGCCAAGTTCTCGCATCTCATTAAACAGACTACGAGATGTTGGATCAACATGCACCCACCTAAATAGTTGCCGTATTAAATTGGTCAAATCACAAGATGTTGAACTAACATGCACCCACTTGGATAGTTGTTGTATGGCTAGTGCAATTTACTCCCGAAAAAATGAGACATGAAGCGTCATCAGTATAGTCACCGCTGATAATAAGAGAAGATCCACCGCCTCCTGAGGAAGCATCATAGCATCACAATTCATGGTGGAGAATAAAGCCATAAGTAAATAGATAAAAGAAGGCCAAATATTGATCCTTTGTATGCCCCCACATGGCGCAGCGGACGATCAAATAAAATTGAGATAGGGTGAGTGAATAATTAGCTAATGAAACAAATAGTACAAAAGGTGTGATGAAAAAAAAACTAAGTTCATGCTTGGTGCTCGTTGAACAAAAAAAAATTAAACAATAAGCAATTAAGCAGTAAAAAGTTGAAAATAACCCGCTTACCTGATCAAGCTCGCCGCTCGGCTACTGTACGATGATGGTGTATTCCATGCATCTGCTGCTCTTTGCTGGTATGCACGGCAAGCGGGGTGGCACGCGGATCATGCCTCCGTGACTCCAGGTCTCGGACATGGTGCTTTTTCAGCGTCAGGCCACCAGGGTCATCGATATATATATATATATATATATATATATATATATATATATATATATATATATAGAAATGGTAGGATGGGGACATGTAGAGGAGCACGAGCAGCACCATGATCCTTCATATGCCCATAGGCACACACTGCATCGAATTAATGCTTGCTTGGTGGAGATTAATTATTTGTATGCTTCAGAGGGCTGCTTGAAACAGAATGACGATTCAAATCCCTCCACTTTCAATAGCGGCCACGTAGTGAAGGCAAGGAGGTACGAAGACATGCAGCATGTTCGTTTCGGCTGAAACGATCGTGAATTATTACTGCTGGCTGGTTTGGTGTGAGAGAAAAATACTGTTCTAGCTTATAATCCACGATCGTTTACGACCAAGCGAACAGACTGATGTTCCATAAAAAAAAAAGAGGTACGAAGACATATGCTAGATTTTTTTATGACGTGGCAGCACGAGAAGTGAGAGAAATAATGATGTGGGATCTCTTATTTAGTTATAGAAGATAGTAGTTGAAATTCTTTGTATTTTAGCACTAACGGATGAGGCGACAAACTCACACTTGTATCGTTGGTACATTCTGGTACCCATACCCGGATCCCTTATGAAATTTAGTATCCACTCTATAATATACTCGCGTGTACCATACCCGCGGATAGGATTACCATCCCTAGCCCTGTCTCTTTGCCACATGAGCTCTCTATATGCAGGACACTTCCATGGAAGAGTTCGTGAGTTTACAGGTATGAAAGAAGTAAAATTCGTTGGTGACGACTATACTCATTGTGAAGATACACTACAAGGCATCAGGAGATTTAACTTTTGTCATTTTCTTTTATTATATGCTAAATAGAGTCTTTTGAATTGCAACATGTGTTTTTTTTTCATTTTACTTCTGGACAATGTGAAATTAGGGCAACCACAGTGTCTGACAAAAGGTGACCTTAAGAATTTAATGCTACAACTGTGATGCACCTTAGCCACTGTGACAACGCACCTCGAGCAAAGATTCTCTAAAATCAACCTTAAGCTTAAGGTGCACCATAGGAGAATAAGTTTTTTTAATCTTCAGCCATTGTGCGAGGGAGAAAGGACGGGCAAGTACTTTTTTTACTGCACACTATCTCCTACCAGGGACATAGCCATTGTGCATTTGGCTGTAGCTAATGCCACCTGAACCAAATCTGACACCTAATGCTAAATGAGCCTACCACATTGCGCATGCGGCATGTCATCGGAGGATGCTGGAAATATCCCAAGAATGCCCCGACAACTCTGCTTGTACTGTAAGTGTCAGTTAAGGGTTTTTCCCCTTCAAACTTCTATATTCAGCCTGTTCGGTTGGCTGGTTCGTATCGTTGCTGGTTCGTGAAGAAGTACTGATGGTTGGTTTGTGTGAGAGAAAAATACTGTTCCGGCTAGAAATTTACGATCGTTTACGATAAGCCACAGCCAAACGAACATGCTGGAGTATCTTGTCCAGTTTTTTTGAATAAAAAGTTCTTATAAAATATGAAAAATTAGTTATGGTGTCTGTAATCTGTAGGATGAAATTTTAGGCATGACACTCAAATGGTACTAATTGCCTAATTGGCTGTTTGTTCCTTTGGCCAAAATGGAGTATCAAAAGCAGGCTAGGGTTTCTTGTGGTTGAGTGGGTCATCTTTTTTGGCCTCGCGGTGGCTGAGGTTGCAGGATTTGCAGTGTGCATGTAGAGGATCCGGGTAGAAATAAGTACTTCCTTCGTACTAAAAAATGAAGTCGTTTTGAACAGGGTCTCCAAAGCATAACTTTGACTACTTATTTTTATAAAGATATTTATCAAAAAATGATATATGTAAATTTTTGTGAAGGTATTTTTCAAGACAAATCTATACATATGGTTTTCACATTTCCAAACTCAACAATTTAAAAGTTATTCATGATTTATATTCCCAATGTTTGACTCAAGTCTTGTCCAAAACGACTTTATTTTTAAGTATGGAGGGAGTATCTTGTTTCTGTTGATATTTTTTATATGCATTTCTTTCTTAAAACTCTAGGGTAGCATCTAATTCTGTTCTTAATTGTTGTGCCTACAGAGACACATTGATTCGGTTTCGAGCGAATAACCGGCGTTGTCCGTGTCACGCAATATTTACTTTTTTCTCCTTTTATTTTCTCTCATCTTAATTTTAATATATTAACCTACCATTTTTTTCTTCTATAGCATGAATATATTTTTTAGAATTAGAAGTTTGTCCTAAACAAATTAATATTGGACAACAAAAACTTATGTGTGCAAGATATGTTATTTGTAAAATTTATTATATAAAAATTGTGCTAGAAAATTTATATTTAAAATTTGTTATGGTAAGTTTGTATGTTGATAGTTATGAATATAAGTTGGGTTGCAAAAGTCATAAAAAAGTTTTCACGATAAATTGTCTATAATAAAGGTTAAATTTCTTCCGCAAAATATTTTCCATAAAATTTAAGAGTATACCTTTGTAACTTTTTAAAATAAAAATAAAAAGTTGTGAAAATATATATATATATATGAAAAGGAAAAGTCACGGGCTGTCTGATCTTACCACCCAATGGAATGTAAGAACAATAATCTGTATCCAGGAATTTCGCATGTAATACAGATTGGGCCGCATCCCATAAGAGTCAGACGAGTCTTGCTAGGCTTAGGACACTGGAAAGGTCCACATGGAAGCCCAAGGCTCCAGAAGCCCGTTTTTCCTTTGGAAAGAGTCCACATTAACTCTCTCAAATTTTGTGAAAGTCCGATTTTTCTTCCTAAACTCCAAAACCGGGCAAAACACCTCCCTCAACTTTTAAAACCATTCATATTACCTCTCTGGCCCTGTTTATAAGCAATTTTGAAGGCAGTTTTGTCTTTTTCTTTTTTATTAATTTCGGCTGAATTTTCGAAAAATCATAGTAAATCACAGAAAAAACATAAAATGGAAAATCCAATTTTGTTGGACTCCACATGAGTAGATCTACACAGTGAATATATAATAAGGTACGCTTTAGTACAAAATTTTTGTTGTGGCTTTAGATCTATGCTTTTCTGTAATTAATTGGAATAATTCATAGCTGTAGTTTCTGTGGTTCAATTGTGATGAAATTTTTATGATGGGTTAATTATTATATGATTGAACTGTAGTAAAAATTTCATACTCATTGGATCATGTATAGCTTAGTTATAGATTTATTTATATTTAACAAGCATAAACCTAAATAAAATCTATAACTAAATTATACACGATCCAATGAGAATAAAAATTTTACTACAGTTTAAGCATATAATAGTTAGCCCACCATAAAAATTTTACCACAATTGGACTATAGAAACTGCAGCTATGAATTATTCCATTTAATTACAGAAAAGCATAGATCTAAAGCTACAACAAAAACTTTGTGCTAAAGCATACCATAATATATATTCATTGTGTAGATCTACTCATGTGGAGTCCAACAAAATTAGATTTTCTATTTTATGATTTTTTTATGATTTATTATGATTTTTCAAAGATTCAGTCAAAATAAATAAAAAAAGAAAAAGACAAAACCTCCTTTAAAATAGCTTATAACCGGGCCAGGGAGGTAAGATGAACAATTTGAAAAGTTGAGTGGGGTGTTTTGCCCGGTTTTAAAATTCAGGGATGAAAAACGAACTTTTGCGAAAGTTAAGGAGCTAACGTGGACTTTTTTCTTTTCCCTTTTTGCGTGGAGTAGGACACCTTTTTGCTTTTTTGCGTTTTGCCTGAGTGTCGGACACAGTGCCATCTGCCACGTACTACTCCTATGATTGAGGCTCTGAGTCTGAGGAAAGGAAGCTCGTAGTGAAACTGTGAAAGCATGCCAAACACATCCCTCTCAGTAAGCACCTGGTGTAGTGGTGTGGCATGGATATGTACAGCTTCGTCCAATGCAATTCCCTGTCGCTGCATCCTATTCCTGCCAACCTAGCTACCTCCCCTGCAGCATGGTGACGGTGAGGTCACAGGCAGAGTAGGACTCATCGACCCTGTCCGGGAAGATCCCGTCCTTGTCCGACGACGTGCACTGCAGCGTGAACGTCGGCGGCTTGGGCATCGGCAGCACGGAGCTGTCGCTGCCGAGCGCCATGACGACGTAGGGGATGTCCGGGCGGTCGCACGCGTGGTCCTGCACGCACAGCAGCGCCATGTGCACGCAGCGCAGCGCGTCCCGCACGGGGCACGCCGGCAGGATGGCCGGGTCGATGAGCCGCTCCCCCTTGTCGGCGTTCCACAGCTGCCACGCGTAGCCGACGATGTTGAGGGATCCTTCCATGTGGTGGAAGCTGCTGTTCTTCTGCCCGGAGACGATCTCCAGGATGAGGATGCCGAAGCTGTACACGTCGGAACGCACGGAGAAGAGGCCCTCCATGGCGTACTCGGGCGACATGTACCCCAGCGTGCCCACCACGCGGTTCGTGTTCACCTGGTTCTGGTCGCCGCCGAAGATGCGCGCCATGCCGAAGTCGGAGATCTTGGGGTTCATGTCGCGGTCCAGCAGGATGTTGCTGGCCTTGAGGTCCCGGTGCACCACGCGGAGCCGCGAGTCCCTGTGGAGGTACAGGAGGCCACGGGCGATGCCCTCGATGATGTGGAACCTCGTCTTCCAGTCCAACAGCCCTCGCCGCGCAGGATCTGCATGCCATGCACCCGTCAGTCAGTTTCTCTCTGCAAATTGTTTTCTGCTCACTGTAGAACAGAGCTTTCTGTGCATGCATGAGTGGATTTGGATCGTACCGAAGAGGAAGGCGTCCAGGCTCTTGTTGGGCATGTACTCGTACACCAGGATCTTCTCCTCCCCCTGGATGCAGCACCCTAGCAACTTCACGAGGTTGCGGTGCTGCAGCTTGGCGATCAGGATCACCTCGTTCTTGAACTCCTCCAGCCCCTGCCCTGAGCTCCGGGACAGCCTCTTCACTGCAACCTCTTCGCCACCGGGAAGCCTTCCCTGTAAAAATAACCAACAGCATAATTTAGCATGCATCTTGACATTGTAACACTGTTGGTACATTCTGACATACTAGCAGAAAACATTGTAATTGTAGCTCATGTGTGTAGTGCATTTGCGAGGTGCTCTTGAATGTACGGTACCTTGTAGACATGGCCGAAGCCTCCCTCACCAAGCTTGTTGTCGGCACCGAAGTCGCCGGTGGCCGCTGCTACCGTCTCGAAGGAGAAGAGAGGCAGCTCGCACTTCTTGCCGCCCTCTGCTTCCTCTTGGTCAGGCTGCTTCGGCCCTGAGAAATCCTGCCGTGCTTCCCTCAAAGGAAGCAGAGACGGCTGCGTTGTCTTTGTCTTCTCCCTACCAACAATGCCAAGTTTCTCTGCACAAGATGAACGCGCTTGCCATGAATAGTGAACTCAAGATGAAACTAGCTGAAAATTGTCACACTCCATAGTACGCCAGATTTAAAATTGTCTCAGATACGAACAGTTCCTCACCTTTGATTCTTCTCCTGCATTTCCACAGGAGAAGGCCGCATCCTGCCAATACAACCACGACAATAACTACAGCAACAACAACTGTTGTCCATCTCCTTCTTTTGGAGCCTGTCTCTGTAAAAGGTAACAAGCAACATAGACAGTTCTCAGCAATTTGCTACTGTCAGGTAAGTAATTTTTTTAATCACTAAATTAAATCAACAGTATGCATGACTTCAGGATTAGACAGCAGAAGGAAACAGCTAGGAACTGGTCAAAGCTTCAAAGATTTATTTTCTGAATACTCTGTGTGCGTTCAGACCATTGATAATTTGATATACAAGGTCAGACATGTTGGCTCATTAATAAAGGTCAAAACATGGTATGCTTCACGGTTCCTATGCGCTAACTGCAATATAATATAGTTGAACCTAACAATAATCCACCTAATGCATGGCTTCATCCAAAAAGCTCAGAAAGAGGATGAGCCACATGTTAGGTCCTTTTCATGAAGCCATTTCTTCTCCCTTATCTCAAATATTCTAGTTGCTGGAAAACTTTAAAGATCATCTGCCGTTGTCAAAGTAATCTTTAAGCCAAACAAGGGATTTGGCATTACATTGTTCTTTTTTTTTTTGACAAGTCAACATCCATAACAAATGGTCTGCTGTCTGCATATATTTAGAAGTCGTTGTTGGTAAAATTTTATTGAGGTTGAAATAAACGAACATTTACTGACATGATCAGTCTTGACGCATTGTCCAACAAAGACAGGTAATAAATCCCAAGAGACGGTGTGACACCAGCACCGGCCAAAGCATATGTGCCTCAACCAGATGATTCTGACCGCTAATTCAGAAAATAAGCAAGATAGACATGCTACGATTTTTCATAGAGTGAACCGGTCGCCAGGCTTTTGGCCCTCGAGAATCTCTGTTCACGAGTCCAAGTTTGCAACCATCTTCTACACGCCTACTTCGGTGAATCCGCACCACCCAATGGACACGCATTTTACACTGCTACTTTCCTATGGCATTTCTCTATGACTACACGCATTTAGCTCAGTCAATTTGTCAGTTCTTGCAACAACCATCAGACAAAGAACTAAAAAATATCATTTTTAATATATATATTACTAGCAAACAAACAAATTCCTTTGACAACAATTTTGTATCCCAGCAGCAAAAAGAACTTACTCCTACGTTCTTCAATCATAACCGATTAACCGTGCATGAATGGAGCAAGAACATGCATAATCCTTACCTAGCAAGTATGCGGGGACCTTGATCTGCAGATCGTATCCTTCTCCATCCGGGAACTGGTAGATGTCGAGCAGGTCCTGTCCCCAGGTGAGGCAGCTGGTGTTGTTGCTGTAGCTGTACGCGCCGCACGAGCAGTTGGCCAGGCACGACTGCTTGCACGCGTCCGCGTCGCCCACCGTGGATCCCCAGGCCGCGAAGTTGGGCAGCTTCACGCCGGGGAGGTCGGCGAACCCGTCGCCGCCGCCGCTCGAGTTCGTCTCGCAGGTCAGCGGGGAGCTCCTGACGCATCCCTGCGTCCAGTTTCCGTTGCTGTACTCCGACACATTCCTGGGCTCGAAACCTGTCAAGCAGGTGCAGATGGCTTGCTGGCCATCGTCGCCGCCGGAGGCGCACCCGGCGTTGGCGCCGCACATGTTGTAGTCCTGGCACGGGATGGTCGGCTCCGACCAGACGGTCTCCCACTCGCCGGTGTCGAGCAGCATGTAGCACGTCTCGGTGCCGTTGGAGTGGAGCATGAACCGGTACTCGGAGCTGTTGTACGTGTTGAAGACGTAGTACATGACCCCGGACCCGTTGTACGGGTCGCCGTTGAGCTTGAAGCCGTACACGTAGAGCGACCGCCACGGCACGCCGACGAAGTTGGTGTTGGCCCACTGCCCGGACCGCCAGTAGGTGCTGTTGTTGTTCCCGCCGCCGGTCCGCCAGATGTAGAGCTGCGCGGAGCCGAGCGGGTCCTGCCCCAGCGTGAAGTCCCCGGTGCCGGGGTCCCCGGGGCTCCGCCACGACGTGAACAGCGTCCTGCGGACGGCGGCCCCGTCGCGCCGTTCCAGGATGATGCTCATCCCGGGGAGGAAGGTGTCCGTGGGGTAGTCGAAGCTCCGCCAGATCACCGTTGCGCCCGCGGTCAGCTGGAGGTTCCCGGTGTCGAGGAGGGTGAGCGTCACGTTCGCCGCCGAGGAGGAGGAGGCCGGCGTCGCCGAGTTGGTGCGCCAGACCACGCGGCCCTCCTCCAGCACCTGCAGCTCGCCGGCGGCCGTGACGGTGGCCGAGTACGCGGAGCCCGCGCTGACGGGCGCGTCGCGGTTGGCCACCCACGGCACGGTCTGCTCGGCGGACTGCGCGTACATGATGCCCAGGTACCGCCGCGACGGGTCGCCGGCCCCGGTCGGCGTGAAGAAGGCCAGCTCGAAGGTGCCGCCGGCCGACACCAGCTTGTCGGTGGCGCCCAGGGACTGCCCCTGCGACAGCGTCACCGCCGCCGCGTGGACGCCGGCGTCCCGCGCTTGCGCGCAGAGGAAGACGAGCAGGGCGAGCGCTGCCGCGGCGGCGGCATGGGCCATTATCAATGTAATGTCTGCGGCCAGCCGGATATAGCTAAGCTAGGTAGCTAGCCTTCTTGGGTGGCTAGCTCGTGGTAAATGAGGGAGAGAGGTGAGAAGAGATCGTTGGAGCTGCTGGATCAGATGGCGGACATGGATGGCTAGCTGCTGCTGCGGCGTATATCATGTAGGTGGGCGCGCGCGGGAGCCGCGTGGACGAGCGGTTGATTCTTAGTGCTAAGCCACATGGTTTTGATTTGAACGGTTATGCTAGTTAGCTGATTGGCTCGTTAGGATTGGCTGATTGCCATGGCTGGCGCGACTAGAGTGGGGAAGTAAAGTGGCGTGGAAACGAAGGGGCTGCGAAGGCCGGCCGGGGTTCACAGTTCACACTGCAAAAAGTAGTGTAAGACTGCGCTGCGAGCGCGCGCGCGCACGAGAGACAAACCAGCCAGCATTTGACCTACGATTAGTAAGCAACTGATGGCGAAATGATGATTTGGTGATTGGTAGGTTGGTTTAGTCCAATTGGATTGGATGCGGGGTTTGATCAATCGTGATAGTTAATTGTGCGTTAGTTAGTTTATCCAACGGTCCAGATCAGCTCAGTTGCAGTCGTCAATCTTTTTTGTGTAAGTTTCTGCTAACTTGGATTAATTAATCTTACTACATATTGTCATATTGATGATGGTAAAGAGAAGCTTCGTGGAGAAAAGAAAGAAAGAAAAGGTAGCATGATAAGAAGGGACAGAGACGAATATTAACTTTTAGGTTTCGTGTGCGGTTCTTCCTAGTTAAAGTCGCTGACTTTGGCCGTCGTCCGAGCCGGCGAAGGATTCTGATGCCCGCGGAGCAATTGCAATAATCCTGTGAATCCAATCCACGACCACCAAACCGTATCATACATATCCTATAACGGCGCCGCCGGCGAATCCAGCAGCCACGCACCACGTTTTGTGAACGAAATGCACTAGCCTGTTTCCTTGGGGGCGAAAGATCGAGCAGGCGCCGTTTCACTGGCAACATCCGTTATTCTAGAACCGATGCTGCACTTTAGCCGATCTAGGAATGAGCCGTGGCGCCGCCAGTCTGCCTAATCATGGGGCAGGAGCCTGCGATCGCGCTCTCGTTGCGATCAAGGTCGGTCTGTCGTTCAAGCCTCGGTCCCGGTAAGAACGGAACGCAGGTGCTCTCGAAAACCATGTCAATCAAAGGGGAAAAAAAGAACAATTCTTCGTTCCGAGCACAGGTACATACTAACGTGTGATATCATATTGGGCTTGTTCACCTTCCCGAACGGTAGTATAGTCTTTCCTCCCTCACACGATGTTGTTTTTTCATCAGCATAATAACCGCATACTATCGCTTATCGCATTCGAAAAATAGTATCCTCTTTGTATGGGATCAAATGAAGAGACTTTTTATAACAAAGTTGTAGTTTTCAATGAGATCTACAACTTTATAGTTTTTAGTTTTTACATTCGAGGTCATTAAGATGCTCGAAAAAATAAATATAAAAATATTATATTTATTTTTTGAGCATCTTAACGACCTTAAATGTAAAAAACTCAAAACTATAAAGTTGTAGATCTCAATGAGAGCTACAACTCTGGTATAAAAAGCATCCTTATTTGACACCATACAAAGAAGATACTATTTTTCTAATGCGACAAGCGATAGTATGCGATTATTATGCTGCTGAAATTTTAGATAATTTTTTTGAGCATCTTAACGTCCTCAAATGAAAAAACTCAAAATTAGAAAGTTATAGATCTCGTCGAGATTTACAATTTTCATATAAAAATCATTTTCATCTAATACCGTATTGAAGAGTTAATTTTTCTAAGTTTGAGCCTTGTCACGCCACTCCCGGTGGCGGTGCGACAAAACAATACTGTCACGCCAACGGGAGTGACGCGACAAGGTTTTTCACGTCGGAATCGTTGTTTAACGTGGCAGGTGTTGTCGCGCCAATGCATGTGGCGCGACAGCGTTATTTGGTCGTGCCAGCGGCACCGGCGCGACCAAAAGGGTTAGGTCCGCAAAAAAAATTTAGATGCAATTATTATTAAAATATTGAATAAAAAAAGATTAAAAATATAAAAAAGGGGGTGGGGAGCGGGCTAGTGGAGTTTCCACTTGGGGGAAGCGTCAGGCAGGCAGGCAGCCACGGTCGCCGTGCCGAGCGAGAAAAATAAACGTCGCGGCGGGGCACGTGCTCCATCCGGCCCGGTTGGAACAATCCTCGGCGCTGCCTCCGTTCCGTCCATCGGGTAATGCATGCTATCTAGTTCAAGTCGATAGCTCCGTTCGATCGAGCTTATTTGACTTATAAATCGTACTTTTTTAGTTAATAAATAGTATTTTTTTACCTATTAAATCAGCCAACAGTACTTTCAGTCATAACTTATCAGTCAAACAAGCCGAAACGAATAGGGCCATGCCATATTTGTATCATCGGTTAATGCTATCCACTAGTTTTCTTCAGCTAATCGGTAGTCGAGTGAATCCAAACCTTCATCGACTAGAGGAAGCTTCTCTCGCGATCAATTTACAATGAACATAGGAATGAATACTTGTGTAGTAGTATTAGGTGGTGAGATTCCTTCTCTTCAAAATGAAGTTTTTTTTGTAAGGCTAGTAGCTACTGACCGACCGATTACCGGGTGGTACGCGATGCTGTTGTGCTTTTACGCCGTGTTTAGTTCACCCCAATATCGCGATGATGTTGCGCGTAGCGAAAAGAAAAAGCTAATTACGTGCTTTTATATTATCGTCGATTAATTAACGTGCGTGGCGACTGTCACGTAGTACCGGCTATGCTGCATCCAGCGACTGTCCGTTCCGTACCGGCACCGTTGACGGCGGCCGGTCGCCGGATGCTGCCAAGTCGGACCTGGAGTCACCAGTGCCACGTGGCTTGGTCCGGCGGTCAAACCTGCATTATTACTTTGTCATTAGGGCAGTCTATCTGATGCGTTGTGCACTTGTGCACCTTACTACTTATTATTACTGTACTGGTAGTAGTACAGAAATCTGAATATCTTTGTTTATATATATACAAAAAGAAAAGAAAACAAAGCGGTCACCGCGCGCATATTTGAGGCGAATTAAACGTTCCTGGTAGTAGTACAGAATGCTGATGAGATAGAGATAGTTGGGTCATTAAGCTTAATTGTGTTCATTATCGCAACCTCAGTTGTCCCATTCGAGATCAGGTACATCGCAACCTCTGTTGTTCCGAGCACAGGTACATACTAACGTGTGATATCATATTGGGCTTGTTCAGCTTCCCGAACGGTAGTATAGTCTTTCTTACCTCACACGATGTTGTTTTTTCATCAGCATAATAACCACGTACTATAGCTTATCGTATTAGAAAAATAGTATCCTCTTTGTATGGGGTCAAATGAAGATATTTTTTATATCAAAGTTGTAGTTCTCAATGAGATCTACAACTTTATAGTTTTGAGTTTTTATATTTGAGATCGTTAAGATGCTCAAAAAATAAATATAAAAATGTTATATTTATTTTTTCGATCATCTTAACGATCTTAAATGTAAAAACTTCAAAACTATAAAGTTGTAGATTTTAATGAAAGCTACAACTCTAATATAAAAAGTATCCTTATTTGATACCATACAAATAAGACATACAAAGAAGATACTATTTTTCTAATGCGACAAGCGATAGTATGTAATTATTATGGTCATGAAATTTTAGATAATTTTTTGAGCATCTTAACGTCCTTAAATGGAAAAAGTCAAAACTAAAAAGTTGTAGATCTTATCGAGATCTACAATTTTCATATAACAATCATCTTCATCCAATACAGTATCGAAGAGTTATGATTTTTCTAAGTTTGAGCCTTGTCACGCCACTCCTGGTGGCGCGACAGAACAATACTGTCCGCCAACGGGAGTTGCGCGACAAGGTTTTCTACGTCGGAAACGTTGTCTAACGTGACAGGTGTTGTCGCGCCAATGCATGTGGCGCAACAACGTTATTTGATCGCGCCAGCGGCACCGGCGCGACCAAAAGGGTTAGGTCCGCAAAAAAATTAGGTGCAATTATTATTAAAATATTAAATAAAAAAGGATTAAAAATATAAAAAAAACAGGGGGGGAGCAGGCTAGTGGAGTTTCCACTTGGTGCCTGTTTAGTTCTCAAAATTTTATAAATTTTTTCAAGATTTTTTATCACATCGAATCTTTGAACGCATGCATAAAGCATTAAATATAAATAAAAAATAAAACTAATTACATAATTTAGACGAAATTCACGAGACGAATCTTTTAAATCTAATTAGACTATGATTGGACACTAATTGACAAATAACAACGAAAATGCTATAATATTATTTTCCAAAAAATTTCGAACTATGCCAGGCTTGGGGAAGCGTCCGGCAGGCAGGCAGCCACGGTCGCCGTGCCGAGCGAGAAAAATAAACGTCGCGGCGGGGCACGTGCTCCATCCGGCCCCAGTTGGAACAATTCTCGGCGCTGCCTCCGTTCCGTCCATCGGGTAATGCATGCTATCAGTTCAAGTCACCGCCCTGTTTGCAGGGGCTTGTTTAATTTAGAAGTCATACTTTTTCGACTAATAAATAGTATTTTTCTCCCATCAAATCAGTCAATAGTACTTTCAGTCATGGCTTATCAGCCAAACGAGCCCAAACCAAACAGGGCGATGCCATATTTGTATCATCGGTTAATGCTATCCACTAGTTTTCTTCAGCTAATCGGTAGTCGAGTGAATCCAAACCTTCATCGACTAGGGGAAGCTTCTCTCGCGATCGATTTACAATGAACATAGGAATGAATACTTGTGTAGTAGTATTAGGTGGTGAGATTCCTTCTCTTCAAAATGAAGTTTTTTTTTGTAAGGCTAGTAGCTACTGACCGACCGATTACCGGGTGGTACGCGATGCTGTTGTGCTTTTATATTGTCGTCGATTAATTAACGTGCGTGGCGACTGTTACGTAGTACCGGTTATGCTGCTTCCAGCGACTGTCCGTTC